CATAATGGTGCTCCAATAGTTGGTGACTAAATATGTTGTAAATTATTATATTGATTATCCCATTCAGTAAAAGTAGCAGGCTTTCTAATTGTTTTTAAGATGATAAAAACATAAAGGCTTTTCTTTAGTATATCAGATAGTTCAAATATTCTTTCTCCATCTATACAATTTTTAATTATTAGTTAAAAAAAACTAAAAGAATGTGGAAATGATGACAAAATTAACAGTTAACATTGCATTCATGAAGACAGGCTTTTGTTTTTCCCTAATAGCATGACCTAGATGTTTGTACATACACTAATCAAAGCCCATACAGTCGTAGACTTCAAAGGAGTCTTAGAAGTCACCTCATCTAAACAACTCCAGTGTTGGTTTTGTGCGTTTGAAGACTTAGGGCCATAGTGCCATAGGACAGCTCATGGTATGGTGAATCAATTGCATAATATAGTCCACAAAGGTCATGTTTTGAATCTCAATGTGGTGATTAGTGTCTGGGATCTTAAACACTTGTGAGTGGCTCTACTTCTCCAGAACAAAAGAGAAAAAAAGAAACTAGAAACTCAGAAGAAAAAGGTCTACTCATCTAATAGGACTAATAGTCTACAGCGTATCACCCACTTTGGGAACCACACAAAGCACATGAACTACCCTGAGACTGAAGAAACTAGATGGTGCCTGACTACCACTGCCAGTCATTCAAATTAGGGCCGCAGTAAATGGGTCTTCACGAAATAGGAGAAAAACATGAAACAGAACTCATATTCCTTCAAAGTCCAGATCTTGTGGAGTGGTGAGACTAAAGGACTTCCCAAGATGATCTCACTGTGATGCCCTTTCCAACCCCTGCCCCACCAACTCCCGAGGACACTGCGACGATCCAGAGGGTTGCAAAAGCAAAGTTCTACACTTTATCTTGGATGATACGCTATCATGCAAGAGTTCTTCATTGCCAGGAGGACACTGAGTACACTTTTTCTGAAAAGGGGATGGTAGACCAAATAAGTTTGGGAACTTATGCTTTAAACCTTGGACTGAAATGATCCCTTGAAGTCAACTTTTAGCTAAATAACCATGTAGCTCATCAAGTAAAGAATACCACCCATGAGAATGAGTTCCTTATTACCAAAAACTCGTCTACCACTGCCACTTAGTCGAATCTGACTCACAGTGACCCTATAGGAGAGGGGAGAACTGCTTCCTTTGGGTTTCCGAGGCTGTAACGCTTTATGGGAGTAGACAGTCTCATCTTTCCTCAATAGTAAACATCATCTCTAGGAGACTGAATTGTCAAAAATTATGGGCAGAGGGTGGGGCAACTAGAAACAATATTTCAAGGAGTGGATGTCATGATGACCCATTGTGAAAATGTACCTAAATCACTGGATCATTTGTGTTGTTGTTCTTCTTAAGGACTGTCAAGTTAGTTCTGACTCGTATGTACAACAGAAGGAAATACTGTCCAGTGCTTCCCCACCCTCACAACTGTTCTTCTGTTTGAGCCCACTGTTGCCACCCCTGTGCCAATCTACCTTACTGAAGGTCTTCCTCTTGTTTGCTGCCTTGCTACTTTACCAAGCATGATGCCCTTCAGGGACTGATTTCTCTTGACAACATGTCCAAAGTAAATGAGATGAAGTCTTGCTATCCGTGCCTTTAAGGAATATTCTGGCTGTATTTTTTTCAAGACAGTGTTCTTTTGGCAGTCCATGGTACTTTTAATATTCTTGGCCAACAGCATAATTCACATGCATCGATTCATCCTCGGTCTTCCTTAATCAATGTCCAACTTCCACATGTGTCCAAGGGAATTGAAAGCATGCCTTGGGTCAGGAACACCTTAATCCTCAGAGTAAAATCCTGTTTTTCAACATTTTAAAGAGTTCTGGTACAGCAGATTTACCTAATGCACTGCATCATTTAATTTCTTGACTGCTGCTTCCATGAGCATGGTTTGTGGGTCCTAGAAAGACAAAAGCCTGATGACTTTAACCTGTTCTCCATGTATTGTGATGTTACCTGTTGGTTCGTTTGTGGGGATTCTGGTCTTCTTTACAGGGAGTTGTGATCCATAATCCATAAAGAGCAGCCCTTGCTCATTAGCAGCAAGAGCTTCCAGTCCTCCTCACTTTAGCAGACAAGGTTATGTCATCTGCATATCTCAAGTGATTACTAAGTCTTCCTCCAATTCTGCTGTTGCATTTTTCTTCATAGCATCCAGATTCCTGGTGATTTGCTCAGCGTCCAGATTGAATAAGTATGGTGAGAATAATACAAGCTTGACACACACCTTTCCTGATTATAAGCTATGCAGTATTCCTGTTCTCACGACTGCCTTTTGATGCATGCACAAGTTCCACATTTACACAATGTGTTAATGTTCTGGATTCCCATTCTTCTGTTACCCAAAGTTTCTTAGGATCCACATAGTCGAATGACTTTGCATAATCAATGGAACACTAGTAAACATCTTTCTGATATTCTTTTCTCTCAGCTGAGATTCATTTGACATTAGCAATGATACTTGTTCCAAGTCCTCTTCTGAATCCAGCCTGAACCTCTGACAACTCCCTGTCAATGTACTCCTGCATCTGTTGTTGGATGGAAAAATGTACTTGCATGTGACATCATTGATACTATTCCATGATTTGAGCATTCTGTTAGGTCACCTTTCTTTGCAATGAGTACAAATATGGATCCCTTCTAGTCAGTTAGTCAAGGAGCTGTCTTCCAAATTTCCTGGAATAGATGAGTGAATACTTCCAGTGCTTCATCAGCTTGTGAAAAATTTTCAATTGACATTCTGTCCATTCTTGGAGGACTGTGCTTTCTACATAAACGGTTAGTCTCAGAAACCCACAGGGAACTGCTATGAGTCAGCATTGATTTGACGCCAGTGAGTTTTGTTTTGTTTTGGGGTAATACTTTCAATACAGCTTAGACTTCTTCCTTCAGTACCATCGGTTCTTGATTAATGTTACCTCTTGAAATGGTTTCATGTCAACCATTTGTATAAAAAGTATTAAATGGAAGCCAAATTTGCTGTGTAAACTCTCACATCGAATACATAACCCCTTGGTGAGACCCATAGTTAGCAATCCCCCAATCTCAGGCACAGAGCTTCCAGGCAACATCCTCTGTGTGTCCCACTATAAAATAAAAATAGACAGTAAATATAGAAATCGGAGATCAAAGTAACCAAAATAGACACAAGCAACATTTTTTAAAAGTAACTTGGACTCACAACAGGAAAAAACCAAATAACCCTATTAAAAGGGGAGCAAAGGGCCTGACTAGAGAACCTACAAAAGTTGGCACCCTAGTGGATAACAAGTACATGCCATCTGGGAAATGCATATCAAAATAATGATGAGATATCGTCTAACACCCACAACAGTAGCCCAATTTGAAAAAACAGCAGCAGAGAACAACAAATGCTAGAGAGGTTATGGAGAGATTGGAACTCTAATACACTGCGGGGCGGGGGAGAGGGGCAGGTTATAAATGTGTACAGCCTGTATGGAAAGGATATGGTGATTCCTAAAACAGTGACAATAGAAATACCATAAAACCCAGCAATACCATTGCTGGGCATACACCCCAGAGGAATAAGAGAGAGATCATGAGCAAAAGTAAGCTGTCCCATGTTCACTGCAACACAGTTCGCAATAGCAAGAAGTTGAAAACAGCCCGAATTCCTATCAGTAGAAGAATGGATTAAAACAAAACAAAAACCTTCGGTACATACACACAATGGAATACTATGCTTCCCTAAAACATAGTGATGAAACCTTGAAACATCTTATGACATGAAGGGATCTGGAAACCATTATGCTGAGTGAAGTTAGTCAAGCACAAAAGGACAAATACGTTTGAGCCCACTGCTGTAGGGATGAACAACAGGATGGGAGCGGGCTCAGGCTTTCAGGCTGTGCAGTCTGCTGGTGAGGTTGGCCAGGCAGCTCAGTAGAGAGCCTGACTGGTGCCTGTGACCCATGCACCATTCCTCTCCATGTATGCACATACTGAAGGCCACTTTGGTGGCGGGCTCCCCATGTCAGCTGGAATCAGAGTTTTGAGAGAAGGAGAGGGGAGGATGACGCCTCAGTGGCTGTCCTGCAAAGGTGTGATGAGCTCTCCCAGGACTGACAGATATCCATACCAGAGTGATGTGGGGAGCGAGCATACCCATCTTGGAAAAAACAAGTACATGCTATTGGTAGAAAAAGGAGGACCAACTTCCTAGAGGGGAAACAATGACTAATAATACTTTTAAGGACCCTCAAGAGAGGATTATGCATGGTACCATGCTCCTAATAAGCCACATTGGGCCAAGCCTCTGTACACTCCATGGGGATCCAGGCCATGTTATAGCAAAGTGTGGTGAAGAAATTAGATGGTACCTAGCTCTCAGACAGAATAGTGTCTGGGGTCTTAAAGGCTTGTTTTCAAACAGGCAGTTACCTAAGTGAGGCGTCAACTAAAGCCGCATGGTAGAAGCACAGCAGCATTCTCAATCTAAGTATTGTAAATTAGGTCATCCAAATCCAGAGGGAATAGTATCAGAGCTCAAACTGTGAGATTCTGGTGTGCAGAAGGCTATGGATGATAGTGAAAGCCCAAAATAATTGTCCGGAATCTACACAGGGAATAAGCCGTCAGTGATTTCCCTCTAACCGTAATCGAGGGATGGGAATCGCCTGGCTATCGGACAGAAAGCATTGGAGACACGACTACAGTAGATTAAAGCTAAATCTGACTTGAATGGTTAAAACCTTGTCATCTGCTCTCCCTTTTGATGTATGTTGTGCTTGATCTGGTTTTTAATATTTTGTGAGGTTTTTCTTTTCATGTTGGGGTTTGTCTCTGTTGTATTGTCACGGTTGGTAGCCTTCTTGACTCTGTAACGTGGTTTTCTGTTTTTTGGCATATGAAACCCAGGATAGGCAAATCTCGGGAGACAATAACTAGAGTAAGTGTTCCAGGGAGGTACATGAGGGGACATGGGTAATGGGGGGCGGGGGAGGGAATGGCCTGAAAAGGGGGGCTGATATCAAGGAGTAAGACAATGTTTTGAAACTGACGGTGGTGGTGATTGTACAACACTGTTTGATATGATTGAACGTTGAAATGCTGATGTTTGAATTAGCGCCTAATAAAATGGTTGGGGGTGGGGGAGAAGCAACTTGGAAGAGAGGAAACTAAGCGTGTAGAAGAAAATGATCTTATCATGAATAACCTTAGCATCCATAAGTGAGAGCAAGCTACTACGAAAGAGGGTCCCACCGTCCTTTGCGGTCCTGCCAGATGTCGGCGCCCAGAACCCCTCAGAGCGACTCCGATGGCAGGAGGTGCTATCGCGGTGCAGGGGCGGCGGAACCAGCCCGGGGCTTGGAGCAGCGCCCACGGGTCGGGAGAAGCCTGGTGCTGCTGCTGGAAATAACCAGTTGCCAGCCACCCACCGGGGCCTCGGGCGGAGGACACCAACAAGATGGCAGCGAGCTCCAGGCCGCCCCTGGAGTCGGGCCCACTTGGCTGAGGAGCCGAGAGCCCCTGGACGGCTCCATGACCCCTCAGACGCGGAGGAGCAGCCCCGGAAGGCCGAGGCTGTGAAGGCCGCCTCCGAGGACGATGGCTTCCGCCTTGTCTTCACGTCCACCCCAGGCTGCCCGGGCCGGAAGTGCCGCCCGGGCCGGAAGTGCCGGCCAGCCCTGCCGGAAGCAGCCGCCCTCCAGCGCCGGCCTCGAGGACTGCGGTGAGGAGTGGCTGAGGTGCCGTGAGGCTGCCCCGTGGGCCCGCGATGGCCCCCAGGGCTCCGCCATCCACAGCCCTGTCGCCGTGGAGGAGAAGGAGGCCCACACGGGAACAAGCAAGCCAACGAGGGGCCCGGGCCCACTCAGCCACCGGTCCACAAGCCAAAGAAGGCCACCAAGCGCAGCGAGGGCCAGGCAGCTCTTGGGACCCCAAAGAAGAAAAAGGCAGAACTTCATGAGGCTTGCCAGCCGGGCCCAGACAAGGCCTCACTGGAGAAATGATGTTTCCAAGCCCCGGCCTCCCTGCAAGGGCTAGGCCTTGCTCCGTTGGCAGGTCCGGACTGCCCCCAGAAGACCCCAACCCTAACGAGGATGGAGTGGTTGCCGGGTCAGAAACTTAAACAAGGCCTGCCCTCTCTGCTCCCACTGAGGACTGGGGCAGACCTGCAGAAGCAAGCTTACTGTGGGTTTGCAGAGCCTGCAGATAATAAGACTGCTGGTCAGGTAGTCCAGCTTCCATCTCCCCGGGGCTGGATGGCTGATCCCTTTTGCTCTTCGGCCCCAGTGTGAGAGCCCTTCCACGACACTGAAGCCCAAAATAGAGCTGTCCCCTCAGTGTAACTGTCTGAAAGAGGAGGGCTGAGTCCCCCCCTGGTTTTCCAGACGTTTCTTACTCCACATCTGTGAATAGGCCCCAGAGCTGCATCCTGTCTCTGAGCCAGCCACATTATGGAAAATCGATTGTTGTGGACCCCAACAAGGAGACCTATGAGTACACCTCACACACGTGGGGACCTCCTGGCTACCCCCCAAGGTCAGCCCCATACGTCAGAGCTGCAGGACCTCAGGAGGCAGAGTACCTCTGTGGTTCGGTTTCAGAACAGTAGGGTTTTCCGAAAGGAGCAGAAGTTTCCACTGCAAGAAAAAGTTGCAGCTCAGCAAGAAAAGTAGAGATGGAAGTGGGGTGGGGGTTAGGGGTGGGGGTGGACACCGGGCTCTGCACTCTCCTCCGTCCCCAGCCCCAACCTTGATACTGAACAAACCAGAAGCTCACCTTACACTTCTTGTTTGCTTTATTGCTCAGTGTTAAATTTAAAAGAGAAAGAGAAGAAAATAAAATTCAGAGAACAAAAGTTTTTTTAAATCAAAATCATTGGTATGGTAGAAACATAAAACCGAATAAAAGATAAGAGGAAATGATTATTTTAAAAAAACAACCAGAAAATACAATAAAAAGATAAAGACATAAAACATAAGGGGGGGGAATTAGGAAATCTGCTTGGGAATTCCAATATTCAAACAAGGAAGCCCTGTCATCAAATTGATTGTCCTAGTGACCCCAGAGGACACAGCTGAACTGCCCCCATCAGCTTTGGAAGACTAAGTCTCTGTGGAGACAAATGGCTTCATCTTCCCCTGCAAGCTCTGTGAGTGGGTTTGAACTGCCACTGACCTTTTGGTCAGCAGACTAGTGCTTTAACCATAGCCCTAGCTATGCCTCCTTATTAAAACCACAAGGCATTCAAAAAATAGAGAAGAGCCGAGAAAAAAGGAGCAAGAGATAACCAAAGAAACAATTCAAGAAAACTTCTCAGAGATAAGATTATCCAGATTGCCAGGGAACTAATAGAGAGGTCTGAAGGGCTGGCCCAAATCCCAACTATGGACACCTACCCCCCCACCCCCCCCAGAAGAATGCACGTCAGAGGACAGCACTGAAGCTACAGCTTGGGGAGAAGGCACATCAGATCAGAGCACACAGGAGAAACAAAGAGGGATGTAGAGGGAGGGGAACACACCTGGCCCCCCAAGCCCCCAGGAGGCTATTCCTGCTCAGAGCAGACAATGCACAGAGAGGACCATAGGGCTGGCCCCACCACGAGACATGATGTCCCTCATTGAACCATAGTGCTATGGGGGACAACATTGGAGATACAGTGTGGGAATTGTGCCCAATCGACCCCATCACACTGGGGGCAAACACTAAGGGCATGCAACAGAGCAGCAATGGAAGCAAAGGGATGAAGTCCCCGGGGAATACCAAAAAGAGATGTTGGAGACAGAGTGTGGCACCCCATCAGACTTGACTGAAAAACACTCATAAAGGCCAACAAACAGACCTTGAGCTCTTTATAGGTTTTTCCATTTTTGTCAGTGGCTTTTTGTTGTTATTTTTGTTTTTGTTATTGTTTTGCTAGTTTTGACTTCCTTTGTTGTTTTGTTTGGCTTTGCCTGGTTTTTGCACTTATTAATGTCTCTGCATGTCTATCTAGATAAGATAGGCAGGATAAATAATTAGGAGATGAAAAGAATGGGACCGATGGTTCCGGGGGGGATACCGGAGAAGGGAAGGTGGGAGAAAGGAAGGGACGGGTCGAGGGTGTGGGAACCTACCCAGGACAAGGGAACAACAAGTGAACTAAAATCAATGGGGAGAAGGGCATAGGATGCCTAGTGGGGTTTAATCATGGGCAATGTAGCAGTGAGCAATTACTAAACCCGAATGAAGGCTAAACATGATGGTAGGACAAGAGGGAAGTAAAAGGAAATAGAGGAAAGAACCAGGAGGCAAAGGACATGTATAGAGGTCTAAATAAAGGCATGTGCATATGTAAATATATTTATATATAATGAGAGGGGAATATATATAAAGAATTAAGGTTGAAGATGGACATTGGGCCTCTACTCAAGTATTCCCACAACATAACAACACTTTGTTCTAATAATCCGGCATTCTGTAATGCTCATCTTCTCAACACAATCGCTGAAGACAAAATGGGTGCATAAGCAATTGTGGTGAAGAAAGCTGATGGTGCCCGGCTATTAAAAGATATAGCATCTAGGGTCTTAAAGACTTGTAGATAAACAAGCGGCCATCTAGCTGAGAAGCAACAAAGCTCACATGGAAGAAGCACAACAGCAACTCAATCCCCAGAGGGACCTCAGAAGAAAATTCAGCTGGTGGAAAATCCTATAGATCACCCATGGGGTCACATGGGGCTGGGGTCAGCTTGGGCCAGAGTCAACTCAATGGCCATTGGTTTTGGTCCTTCTTTTGAGTCACACCAAGACACCCCGTGTGGTCTTTTGGTGGAGGACACAGCATTTTATTGTGGTCTGCGTGAGTGTGGACAGAGCACGAGTTTTCCATTCAACAATCCACACACATTTCGTTTCGTGGCCTTCGCTGAGCTCCTCTTCACATAACAATACTCTTCCTACTGCTCCTGTCCCCGCCCCCGCCTCAACCGTTCCCTATTTCCATTGGCCGTCTGTCTGTCATGCCTCTTCCTGTCCCCAGTGCTTTGTTCTAGGGCAAATCCGGCCTTTGATCTGCCGTGCTAATTGTATGAGCAGCTCCTTCAGCACAGACGCTATTGTTTCCTTTATGGGTGTGTGTGTTGTTTGGCTACAACAGAATCCCCAGGAGTGGCTTCTGTTTCTGGTTTGAAGGGCAGCTAAGGGTCACTGTCTCAGGGGTTCCCTCAGTCTCTCAAACTGGTGGTTTTTATTATTTTGAATGTTGTTCCGCCTCTTCTCCAACTCTCTCTAGGATATTCTATTTCAGAGTTTGCCAAAGTAGGCCAGCGGTACTGCTCCCTGGGGGCACTGGGGCTGCAAAAGCACATACTTTCAGTTTATTCTAGATTGTGGGCCACAGTCCAGAGTTTTTAATTGCCAGGGGGCAATGTTTTCTGAAGAGGGTGCAGAAGGCCAAATAAGTTTGGGAACCCGTGTTCTATTGTTAGTGCAGTCAGCGCGCTCAATCGTGGTGGCTGTTGTTGTTAGGTGCCTTCAAGTCGGTTTTGTCTCACAGCCTATTATGTTAAAGAGAATGAAATACTGCCTGGTACTGACATCCGCACAGTTGTTCTGATATCTGCGCCCATTGCTGCAGCCACTGTGTCGATCCATCTTACCGAGGGTCTTCCTCTCTCTTTCACTGCTCCTTGACTTGACCAGGCACGATGTCCTTCTCCCGGGGTTGGTCTCTCCTATGAAGTCCAAAGTAAGGGAGACAAAGTCATTGCCTGCCAGGAGCATTCTGGCTGTACTTCTTCCAAGACAGATTTGTTTGTTCTTTTGGCTGTCCATGGTATTTTCAGTATTCTTTGCCAGCACCATAATTCAAACGCATCTACTCTTCTTTGGCCTTCCTGATTCAATGTCCAATTTTCATATGCATCTGAGGTGGTCAGGCACTCCGTAGTCCTCAAAGGTAATATAATGGTAACATAGTACCAGCTAGGCAGGGTCTATTCTTCTCGTCTCCAGCTCGTGGAGGCTGTGGCTAGGTGTACTCGGTGTTTCCTTGCAGACTGCGACTCCCTGTACTTGTAAGTGGATGTGGGAGGGTAGACAGATGATGCACCTGCAAGTAGATACTTTTAAAGCTACTTAGAACCCCAGCCTCTTTTTTTCAATAGCACGGAAGAGATCCTTTTGAAAAACCCTGACCTGAAGGATGCCATGTAATAGGTCTCCTGGGATATTGGCCACAAAGGCACTCCCAAATATCTGAATATGATCTCGTTGAACAATTAGTTTTTTGTCTCTTTAAATGTTAAAGGGGCTTCTGTTGAATACACGACCCTTGCTGCCAGCATATTAGATGCAAAGCTGCTTTTTAAAAACTCTATGAAAGAAATCCACCACTAGCCTACCAGTTGGTCATACCGTTTACCATGGGCTGCCAAGAGAATAAACAAATGTGTCTCGGAGACGAACAGCCAGGGCGCTCCTTACAGACAAGGGTGGCGAGCCTTCATCTCATGGACTTTGGACGTGTTATCAGGAGAGACCAGTCCCTGGAGAAGAACATCAGGCTTGGTAAAGTGGGGGGGGAGGGGGCGGGAAGCCATCAAAGAAATGATTAACACCACAGTGGCAGCAATGGGCTCAAACATAACAAGGATAGCGAGAATGGCTCAGGAGCTGGCAGGGTTTGGCTTTGTCGTACATGGGGGTGCTGTGCGTCAGGACAGGCTCAACAGCGCCTCACGGATGAACTGGGTCTGAAGTCAGTGTCCTGGTCAGAGAGGAGAGTCAGCCAACAGCTGTAAGAGTAGCTCTCAGGCCACCAAATAACTGTTTTTCCGTTGAACTATAAAATAATCTAACAGGGATCCTATAACAAAGTCTTATTTTGTACTCTTTAGCCCTGGAATTTCTCTCCCCTGATACAAGCAGTAATAGTAGCCTACACGCGTTGAAGAGGATGACTAATGGCCTGGAATTTAGGAACGAGTCCGTGACTGTTTATGGAGTGAAGCTGGAAGTCTGCTTATGCTGCAACCAAGGCTTCATCCTCAACTGCTCACAGTGAACAAAGCAAGAGACCCAAACCAGGATAGGAGCTGTAGTAGATCCATTGCCCTTGCAAGTTGCTTAATCTTTACTTAAGACTTTAAATTGGGTCCAGAAATTTGCTGAGTAAAAAGTTTCAAGATATGTGGCGGGCATATTAGTTAGTATGTTCAGTAGCTTTAGTCCAGTTCACGTTTTAAAGGTGAGTTAGAGAAGACTTTGAATTCACACTATCTTATACAAGAACTGGTGCACCGTATAAAATGAGGTCTGGTGGTACAACGGCTAAGTGTCCACTTGTTAACCGAAAGCTCAGTCGACTGGACCCACTCCATGCCTCCACGGGAGAAAGACTTTATAGATTACAACCCAGGCAACTGATGAGGCAGTTCTATTCTGTGACATGCCGTGACCGTGTGTGGAAAGCTACCGCTACCCACCACCACACGAAGTGAGCTGAGACAGCCGCTACATGCGTAAAAGAAAGAAAAGCCGATCCCAATTCTA